TCCAAATTATATCCTGCTCTTATGACATCTCAAAAACTTTCCATTCCTTAATCAGTCTCTTTTTCATGGCATTAAGGCTTTCTCTTTAAATCAGAGTTTCAAACTCTACTATTAGAATTTATTCCCAATATATATTCTAAAAATTCCCATATGAAGTACAGATAAAGTTTTAAAAAACTTCCACTTAAAAACTACTAAACTACATTAACAAGCACTTATCCAAATGTATTCTTCGGCAATTATTCTCCCCTCTTGTCTTAATAGTTCTTAGAGTTTTGCTTCATCAACTCTTCTTGGATAATTCTAATATCTTTGAGCTTGACTTTCACATCACATTTTCTTTTGATAATATTTTGCTCTTGTTCGATGATTATTTATTTGTGGATTTATTGCTAGCTTCTCACTGAGTTGGAATCGATAATTATCATCTCCTTTATTTAGTTTCTGATGTAGCTCTTCTTCATCAGCGAGTAGTTAGAACACTTCGTTGTACTTATCCTTTCCTAATATCCCCCTGTTGTCTGATTCTTTCTGAGATCTATCTTTAATTTAAATAATTTTCCTCTTTCAATTCCCCCATTTTATGAAGACCTTCTTATGAGAATCCCTAGATCATTTCTTTCTCTAGTTCCTAATAATATAGGTCAAGAAAATCTTATTGATTATTGTATATCATCGTGAAGTGATAATTGAAGTTGTAGGTATTGACTTCGTGAGATTATTGTCTGGAGTTTTATTCCATTTAAGTCTTAAAAGTCTGCAAACTAGTTAAATCATTATTATCTTTAAGAAACTATGAGTTAATTAAATTTTTTTTAAGAAACTATTTTTTTTAATTCTGCTTGCATAAACATGTAGATTCTTTGTCTTCGTTTTCAAGATTTCTGGACTAATTATTACTGGTGCTCCCATTATAAAGTATTTTGCCCATCTGTAATGGACATCCGTTCTTATTCTAAGTTGCTTCATCTATTTCTTTTCTGTAATTCTTTTCTTTTTCTGAAGCCAACAGGTTTTCCTGAAAAGATTTACTCATAAGATTCTCCACCTTTGGAACTGATCCTTCAAAAAATAAAATTTAAAAAAGAGAATCATTCATGTTAATTATGTCCATCAATTTCTGTGTAAGACATTCATATGCTGAGAAATCCTCCTATTACTCCTAAAATGTGATATTGATTTTTATTTGCCTTCCGAGAAGTTGCTTGCCTGAATTGTATCTTTTCTTGGCTTAGACAATTTTTGTTGTAATTAATCTATAAATTTTTACTCTTAAGATTTGTAATACCCTTAATCATTGCTTTTCTCAGGAAGGAAATGTGGTTTAACCAAACTTAAATTAATTCTATTCATCATTAAATAATTAAGTGTGCTTTTCCTATCATAGATTAATTTAAAGGATATTGTTTCTTTTGGTAGATTTAACAGAGAAGTAATGTTAATTGTAAAACAAATTGTCTTTAAAATTTTAGATTTATACTCTCTTTCTTTAATTTTTAATGACTACTAGTTTATCCTTCTAATTGTATCTACAATAACAGTTTAACATAAAATATTAATAATTCATTAATTTTTCTTGACAGATTTATCCACATATATTTAAAATAAATTGGATCTAATATTGTCAAGATTTAGGTCCAAGGCAAATAATCATCCTAAAATTTTTTATTAATGGCTTTTAATTATCTAATAACCGTAAATTAATAACTTTCAAGATCAATACATATACTCCCTAACCCTAAGAATCAAAAGTAGACGCTTCATAGACCTCGTAGGCCTCTTGACTGTAATTATGAAGGTATGATAGCGCTACAGTTTAAGATTTAATGAGAGAAGTGCTATCTCATAAAATAAAGTTTCCTTTAATTCTAGCAAGAAACTCATTGACTCTCCTTAATAGAGGATATTAAAAACACCTGAAGTTAGCATTTCTCATTTCATCTTGGGATCATGTGAAAGGTTGGCCTCAAAATTTATAATCGAAAAAACTATCATCGCCATCCTATAGACTTCTGAAAAGGTGTATAATTTAAAAAATATTGACGTTTTTCCTCACTTGGTGCCACAACCATAGTCAAAAGGGGTAGATTGAGCTAAGAGGTAAACACATCATCGAAGCTTTTGGTATAGTTGTAGGTATAGTATCAATCTGTCTACTGTTTACAGATGATAAAGTGTAAATGACGACCAAGAAAAATTAAAAAAAACCCTATTATGACTGTGCTGTCAAATAAATGAATAAATTTTAATCAATAAACTTTAATATAATCAAGATAACTTAATATCATGTAAGACAATGTATGACGCTTGATTGCAGTTGATGCAAGAATTGACCTCACTAATCTGTAGTTCAACAGATAACCACTTTGGTTAGATTCGACCTCTAAACTCTTTACCTCTAAAGCTGACTTTGGTAAGTTGAATGGGATTAAGGAACTTTTTATGTCTAACTGCCATACTGAAAAATGACATCATTTTTCAGAAATAAGATTAGTCAAAAGAAATTAAATTGATCATTAAATTTCCTCTGCAAGGGTTCGACCCTGAAAAATCGGTGTTTAAAGTAGACAGGACCTTAGAAACTTAGTATCCTAGGGAAAGCTGGCGGTAGTTCCTTCTCACCATTTAGGCTTGTATGAGTTTGCGATCAGATTTAGGTTTGCTATATCATTTAAAAAATTTATTTTTTCTTATAAATTTCTAGTATGTCCCTTTCCAAAACATTGTCCTTTCATTTAATCTTATCATTGTACCTACTCTTCTTTTTGCCATATTATAGGATATGAAACTAGTTAAGTTTCTTCCTTGGGTTCGTGTTTAGGCCTGCTAAATTTTCCAGGAAAAATTTGTATTCACTCTTGAATTCCATCTGATGAATTTCCCACACAGAATTTATTGGGATTTAATTATATTTCTATTACTTTTAGTTCTTTGCTTCCAAAGAGTCTGTCTTTGATACCCTTATATGCCTAGTGATTCAAATCATCAACTTTTTTCCATTTCTAACTTTTGTGATTTCCTAAAGGCTGATGATCCAACTAGTAACACATAATTCAACATCCTCCCCTAAACGATTTGATGAGGCCTTTTCCCTTCTGATGGTTTCTAATTCCCTAAAATGCCATCGCATTTGTTTGGATCCTCCCCTTTTCATATGGAGACTACTCATCAAATGCTTTTCGATAACATAATTGGAAATCTTTAATAGAAGAATCTCCTATTTTTGTAATATATTAAGACAAAAATCTTCATAAGATCTATAAAAATAACTATGATCTTTCACTTTCAACTGCTTTGTTTTTCTCAGCCTACCCGTCCTTTAAATATCCAGAATTTAACTCTGCTAAAACTTAAAAATTGAAACATCATATATTCTTTATAAAATCATTGTTTTCAGTTCGAATGCTAAATCTTACTGATCAAAACTACTTGCATCAAAGATCAAAGATCAAACATTTTTGATACTTAAGATAAAATTAAACAGTCAATAGTAATAAAGTTATAACCCAACAATCAGCATATCGTTTGAAAAATCAGAGTCACTAATAGTAGAGTCAACTGAACAAACTGATTCGATTTTATTGGATCAGAATTTACATTTTCATTTACTACTAATATGTATATCCAAAATGCCATGTGTATTTATTAGACTAAAGCATAGGATAATAGACTTATTATTGTAAAATCTACTAATTGTGCAAAAGGATTTATTATAATGTCTGAAAAACTTAAATGTAAATAAAGACATTTGTACCACAAATCAAATTTATTATAATTGCTGTGAATTAGAAATAATCAGTTTATAATGAATTATATCTATTTTTAGGTATTCTATATTCATTTTAGGACTTACTTGAATTTCTTTTTATTGATCGCTAAATTTTTAACTTGCAGTCTCTCTAGTGATTTGTCAATTAAATTTTACTTGCTTAAAAAATGTGAAGTTAACTTTTGCTGAAATTATTAATACAAACTCCTTTATCACAAAAAGCGAATTGAGTCTACCTTTATTACACTACTTTCATGGTATAAATTCGAATATCTGCATTATATCTCATAAAGATTGTCTTTTTTTAATCTTATTGATTAAATCTGCTTGAGAATCTGCATAATGCATTATAAACTTCAGTACGCAGCCTATCACCTTCATGTTACAGTTAAAAATAATATACAGCAGGGTTTTGAGGTTTAAATTACTTGGTCGAATATCAAGGAAGGACTAGCTTTTAATGTTATTGTTTATGGAAATCCATATCCTTTACTTATAATTCCATCCCTAAAAGTTAAAGGAGCTGACGATATACAATAATTATACATCTCCATCTCATGTCTTTTTAATTAAAATAACTTTAAGAGCTATTAGATATGAACAAATCAACTCAATGAGTGTTTTACAAAGATGTTAAAATTGGATACTTCCTAGAGACTTACTATCTTCTAAGATGGCTATGAAAACCTAATATTCCTTAGATAATAAATTCCAATTCAATTTCTACTTCTCACATCATCAGCGCTATGGCAA